ACTTACTTACTTACTTACTTACTTACTTACTAGTTGCCCTTTGATTGGACTACTTGCCCCCCCCCCCCCCCCCCCCCCCCACTCCTCGGGGCCTACAATAAATAAAAGCTGTTTGTTGTGTGAGTGTATGGAAACTGGCAGTAGAATTTAGGACAATGTAAAGGGGATCACCAGTTAAAATCTTGCCTTGGGGATCTAATTGGTTTCGGGTTGGGACTGTGTATTCATGTTGGTATTCACCCTGTGACACCAAGACATTTACCCAATTTATTTCCTGTTTAATCCAGTTCCTTTACCAGGGGTGGAGCTAGAGGGGGACAGGGGGGCAAGTGCCACCCCTAGCACTTGATTAACCACCCCAGGTGCCACCCCCAAACGACTGACAGGTGGGATTATTGGATTAAATGGGCAACAGCTAGTGGCCAGTCCATAACATAGAAGTGGACCGTCTAGAAAAAAAATTTTTTTTGAGAAACCTTGATGAATGCCATGTCTGCGCCATTTTAAATTTATGTTTTGACTGTTTTATATAGTTTTGGTGATTGCAGCTCTCACCAAGACACATTTCAACTCAGTATGTTTACAAAATAGATGAGTTAGGGCAAATTAGATTTAGCTTTGGTGGCCATCTTGAATTTTTGATTTGCATTTATAATATGTTGAAAATTGTCAGCCACTATTATACCAATTTTCAGCTTTCTCTGTCTAAAATTGGTCTTTCTTAAATCAGCATTAGCCCTTTTCCAGAAATTGAAATTAGCTTTCAGAATGTCATGGGGATTGACCACAATAAAATAATTCAGCTCAGTATTTCTAAAAATGAAATTAGGTTTAGTGGCCATCTTGGATTTTGTATTTATGTTCAGGTATTGGTAAAGACTGTTCTTGGTTACTACTGCACACATTTTCGGCTGTGCATGTTTAAAACTGGCTGAATTATAGCCTTTTTGTAAAATTTGCATTAGCGTTAGCAGTTGGCTTAAACTGGGATTAGCAATCGGCCCAAAAAACACAGTTTCAGCTCAGCATATCTTCAAACAGCTGAATTAGAGCCATCTGAAATTAGCTGTGGCAAAATGTCTTTATTTATGTGTCCCCTCTAAAATACACCTTGGCCACCCCAGTGCTACCCCCCTTGCAAAATCGCCTGGCTCCACAGTTGTCCTTTACATCCTCTATCTGCTAGCTTCTTGGTCGTGTGATGTATAAATGTGGTGTCATGTGACAGTTTGTTACCTCCTGCAGGGATTTCCAGCCTGACGTGTGAAGGAGAGTTTGTGGGCAGAGTGGGGGCAGGCTGTGAGCGTCAGCTGCCCTCCTCACCCCCCTCTGCCTCCGGAAAGAACCTTTCTGCTTTCTTCTGTTCTGGAGGGACATGTCAGACCAGGAGACACAGTCCTTCATCCAGTTCAGTCTCTTCTGCTCTGTGTGCTCTGACAGGCCAGCAGGTTGAGACTCTTGTTGCTCCAGAGTTTTGCTTGCTGATGTGCGACAGGTGTCTGAAAGATGCTGCTGACTCACTTCAAAGCTGATGAGTTGTTCCTTGAACGTCTTGGATGATGGACCAGGTCCGCAGGAGTCTTGGTGTCCTGTTTTTAAAGATTTTAGGTTGTTGTTTTCTTTTTTCTTTTCCTCTAATTCGTTCTTGGTAGTCAACGTTTCTTTTTTGTTGTCCTGCTCCTCCTCTCCCCCCCCTCCTTCTATAAGGCTTTCACTTCCTGCTTTCATCTGTTCTTTGTCTCTTTTCGTGTCTACCACGCTGCTCCTCATGTCCACATCTGTTTCTGTCACTTCTTTCCTCTTGTCATTTTCATTAAACATTTCCATTTCTTTGCGATTTTCTTTTTCATCCTCTCTTTTTCCCTCAACTTCTATTCTTTTAGCTTTTCCTCGATGCTGTTGTCTGTTGTTTATTTCTTGTTTGGACGTGTTTCTGTCCTCTGTGTTTCTGTATTCCTCGTCATCGTTTGGTTTCTTTGTTTCTGTTCCATGTTTTTCTATCTGTTTGTTTGAAAGTTGTCTCTCCTCATCTGTGGTTATTTCCTCTTCACTTTGTTGGAGTTCCATTTTGTTCTCGATTGTACTCGTCCCTTCTCCCTTGCTCTCTATCCAGGCCTTTCTTATTTCCTCCTCCCTCTTTCTCATCTCCTCGTGCTTCATTGTCACATGCGTTAGCGTGCTGCTTTTCCTCATTTCTTCCTCTTCTCTTCTAAACTTCTTGTTCTTTGTTTCAGTCCCCTCTTTGGTCTTCATTTCATCCCTAAACTTTATTTTTTCCTCGTTGTTCTTACCTTTTCTTGTAGTGAGAAACACACTCTCCTCCTCCTTCTGTGTTTCCTCCTCTCTTTTTTTGTTTTTCACCCCTTCTCTTTGTGCTTCTTCCTTCTTTTTCTGCTGCCGTTCTCCTGATCGTCTCAGGTTTTCTTCCCTGAATAAAACTGGTTGAAATTTTCTCTCTTCCTCCATCTTTTTGTTCAGTTCTTCTCTCTGTTTTTTCTCCTTTTGCAGTTTTTTCATTTTATCTTCCTGGTTTTTCTTCTGCTCGTCTTCTCTCTTTCTCCTCTCTCTTTCTACTTCAACTCTCATTTCAGCAAGTTTTTGCTTTTCTTCTTCTTCTATACGATTTCTCTCTTGTTGTCTTTTCCTTCTGTCCTCTTCATCTTTTTTCCTCTTTTCTTCTTTCTTCATCATCCTTTCTTCTTCTGCTTTGTTTCTCTTCTTCTCCTCTTCAATCATCTTCCTCTCTTGCTCCACTTGTTTTTTTAGGTTAGCAATGAGCTCCTTATGGGTAGAAATGATGCTGTTAGGCTACAACCACAGTAATTTTCTCATTTCTTAGATTAACATGATAAAAACAGTAAGGTAACTACAAACCATCTTCATTTTAGTCCATTTACTTAAAGTTTAAAAACATACAATCAATTTATATCTTGTTTTTGAGTTAAAATAAATTATGATTTATGAAGTCAAATATATCAAATCAATGATAGTATGATGATTCCAGCTAGACTAAAACATTGTTGGTAATCTCAACATAATGATCAAACCAATAGTTTTTCTTCAAATTAAATAATAAAACCTCAAATTCTCCCCATAAATATTCACTGACATGTGTTAGAAAAGCATAAATGGCAGCAAGTTTAACTGAACAAGTCTTGAGCAAATCATTTGCTTTCATATCTGTTTGGGTTTTGGTTTTTGCCTTTTTTTTAGTGTAGTATTGAGCAGTGAGTCTCCAGGCTTAGTGACGCATTTTTATCTTTTTTTTTTTTCAGTGTGGTTCAATATGAGATTAGTCAAACAGTACATGTTGTTTTATAAAAGTTAAAATTGAGGTGGATATCTCTGACTGGGAATAACACAGAGTACAGTAAAAATAAATATTAATTACTGTATATAAAATAAATTAGCACAATATTGTAGTGTCACCTCGAGTGACCACACAAAAAGAATGATTTACTGAAAACTTAAAAATGAATTATTTCATACAGAACATTCATTATAATGATTCAGATAAAATAATTAGAAAATGTTTCATAATAAAGCTTAACTATAACACAAAGTTTTAGTTAAGTAAAATATTTAAAGTTAAAAATATATAATCAATTACTGTGGTTTCACAGTTAAAGTCCAAGCAGTGATTTACATCAAAGCACAATAAAAC